TCACAATCTATAGAGTACGAACTAGGATTTTGAATGACGGATTAACATACCGAATCACATAGACTTTGAAAGTCATAGAGAAAGACTGAGAAGTGGGAGAGATTTAGAGCCCGTTTGGTAGTACGAAAATCGGCTGATTTGGCTGATTCTGCTGAAATTTATGAAGTTCTGGCTGAAGTGGCTGCATTAGCTGATTCTGCTGATTTAAGAAAAAAACACTTTTAAAATATACTTTATTAATAAAATAAAGAAAAAATTATATGTAAATATAGCTAAAATGGTCATCTACAATAACTTCAGCCAATACAGCCAGAAAAGTAACTCCAACCTTACTATTTCTGCTTATTACACAATTCAGCGCGCGAAAGCAAAAATTACGTGTTTGGTGAAAATGTTGGCTGATAAGCCTGATAAACCGATAAAACAGTGTTACCAAACGGCCTCTGATCTTAGAGTGTACACAAGAGCCCGTAATATGAAAATCGGCTGAATCGGCAAATAATGTTGAAGTTTATGAAGTTGCGGCTAAAGTAGTTGGATTAGCTGATTCTGCAGATTTAAGAAAAAATTATATTTGAAATATTTTTTTTAATAAAGTAAAGAAAAGAATTATATGTAAAAATAGTTAAAATGGTCTTTTACGGTAAATTCAGCCAATACAGTCAGAAAAGTAACTTCTTCCTTGTTTTTCCTTATTATTACACATTTCAGTATACAAAATCAAAAGTTACGTTTTTGGTGAAAAAGTTGGCTTATAAGCCAAAAAACAGGGTTATCGAACGGCCTCTAATACTCCATATAGATTAGACGAGAGTCAGCCCTTTGATTATGCGATACGGAGTATTTAATAATGATCGAAGATGTTGAAATAATCCTAAGGAATTTTATCAATCTGGTACCTGAAAGATAGTCGAATTATCAATCTGTGACCTCAAAGATGAAATGTATCGGTATAGGACTCGAAAGATGAAAAACTATCAATCTAGGACCTAACATTTCATAGGTTTTGATTTATTTAATTTTTTATTAATTCCATTGCTAATATTTGGTGAAATTTTCTTCACAAAAGTTTATTAGTTTAATAAAACTAAATATTATTTAAAATTTTGAAAATAAAAATAATAATAAAATTTATGAAAACTCAGGTCCTAAATTGATTGTTTTCAATCATTCGGGTCCTAGATTGATAGTTTTCCTTCATTCGGGTCATATAGTGTTACATTTCATCTTTTAGGTCCTGAATTGATAGTTCGTCTAACTTTCAAGTCCTGGATTGATAAAATTGCATTCCCACCTAAAGATATGTTAGGAAGTTAGGGAATACTTTGAAGGTAAGTTATTCGATGGGAAATTAGAGATAAGTGAGGAAACTCCGCTTCTTATCTGAGAGTGTAAATTAAAAAAAAAAGTATTAGAAGAAATTATAACTAAAATAACTTCTGAGATATGTAATTTCAAATAGTTAAACTGATATTTGGTTTCAAATTGATTTGAAATTATCATTTAGTTTGTTATCCTTAATGAACCCCTATTTTGGATGAACGCAACGTAAATATTGAGCATTTGAAAGGTTTTGTACTTTTGAAGAGTAACAAAAACCTTCCAAAATCATTGCATTCACTTTTTTTTAAGTTCCAATACAAATAGAAGAGACATCAACCCTATGTCTTCACTTCCCTCCCAAAAACCACCTACTAAACACACCCTAAATGTGGTTTACATGTATTCTACATAGTATTATGATTATGACACAAGAAAAACACATTTATCTTAGACACGTAGATAAAATGACAAATATTGGAACTCAAAATGTTTATACTATGTATCATATTACTCCGCATGACAATTTATAATTTGTGTTGTTTCTTTTAATAATTTGAATACGAAAATCATATCCTACTACTCACACATTAATTTTAAAAAACAACACCTGTAATAACATATTTATTTATAAGGGAAAATGTCTTAAATAAGAGTAAAAATGTTTTGAAATTTCAAAGTATGATGTTATACTTTTTTCCCCGAAATAGGAGTATTATTGTCATGATTGAAAAATATTGCCACTAACGACAGTAAATACTGACATGTTAATCCCAAATACAACAATTATGTTGGCAGTAATGACTTCAAGATGACAACATATATTAGCTATGTTACTTCTATTTCGGGAAGAAAAACATAGCAGTTGTATTTTAGAATTTCAAAATCTGTTTATTCCAATTTAAGAAACTTTCCCTAATTATAATAGTATTTTTTTGGGATAAACGCGGCTTAAATTGATATCAAAGCATTCAGCAAGGGAACAAGACGATAAAAGGATCACTCCCAACCACCGACCATCGAACCAGACTCAGAACCAATCACCCTGGAAAAAGCAATATGGCTCGCTGATCCTATAATGGGTCTAAATGAGTCTAACGTGGTTAGAGGAAATCCCTCATCACCCCAACCTAATGCAAGAGTTTGTCTGAAATAAACAAAGCAAAAAACAACAATGACAGTCTGATCGAAATAAAATAAAATGAAAAGCATAAAGTAGTGGGAATTCAGTTGCATCCACACGCAACTGACCAAGAGACTTCGATCTCCTGTAGCATGGGACAATCTTCCTTCCTTTGGCGGGCCTAGAAACCTAGACCCGCCCTTGCTCCATTTTTGAGAGGTCCACTGCCATAATGTCCTCTGCACCCTTCTCATGGTTCTTTTCCTCCCAAGTTCTTCTGCGTTTCTGCTCCCCTGAAAAGCCCTCCATGTCAGATGATTCAACCTCCATCCCTTCCTTCGTACGAACTTCCGTCCCAGTTGTTATCCCACGTTGCTCCTCTGGCCCGTCTATCTCCTCTATACCGCTTGTTGCACTCTGGCGATTAACCTTCTGACTCGGCCCACTTCCATTTAGAGCGCCTTCAGTAATCAGCCATTTATTGACCCTCATAGGTCGAGCTTTCCCTCCTCCCCCAGCACGGAGGTGAACCCCGAAAGGTTTAGTCAGCTCTTTGTTCCCGCAGTCATATGCCAATGGGCAAAACTTGTCTGCATGACCAATAATACCACATGCAAAACAAAAGCTAGGTAGTTTTTCATATTTAAAATCCACCTTATGCCCTATACCCCGCCCTTTTTGTAATGTTGTCCCCACTTTCTGAGCTTTACCTACGTCCATGGATACTCTAATCCTCATATAAGAATTCCAGCGGTCCTCAAACCGACTTTCATCAAAACTGATAAAATTACCAATGAAATTAACCACTCTCCTAGCCACCCCTAAGTTCATGAAGTCATAAGGCACGTTGTGTACCTGCACCCAAAATTCAGCCTCGTTGAGGGGAACCCGAAGAGGGATATCCCCCGGTTTTAGCGCCCTCAGCACCAACAAATTTTGTTCATACAGCAACAGGCCTCCTTCTAAGACACGCTTCATGTCAACAATATGATAAAAGGTAAATAAATACTTTTTCTCGTCGATCTCTTTAATGGATACTCCTTTGTCCGGACGCCAAATAGAAGCCATAAGATCCCTAAAAACAGGGAATTTCACCATTTTGTCAGTAAGAACAGTGTCGACAACCAAGAAAGAGCTGCTGCGATTCGAAGAAACCTCTCCATCTTCGATCTCGTCGTCCAGAACGAGCTCTTCCTCGTCCCCTCCAATCTCCAGATTATCGTACTTGTTCATCATGTCGTCCATCTCTGCCATATCGTATTGTTGTTCTTATGATCCTTGACAGTCTGGAAATCCGTCTCCGAGGACCGCCTCGAAGCCAGCGTAGTCCTGCTACTTGATGCCGCTTCACACCAACGAAAGGAGATCGTGGTGCCTCTCTTGCCTTTCCGGCTCGCTAATCAGCGGACAGCGCACAAACAGTGCGAAAACGTAACCCTACTCAGAGGGAGGCGGTCGCGTCTTAAAAAAGGTACACGATTTTTATAAATATCTAATTATAATAGTAGTTGTAGTAGTGGTAAGATCAATAAAAGAGTGAAAATACTATATTTTAAACATTGACTCCTATTTTAACATTTTTAACTATGTTTTACATCTATGGTAGGGCAGGGAAAGATATCGAAACATCGGTATACCGCACTTACCATAAGAAAAATACAGAATTTACCTAAATGTTTGGAATACCGACACTTACGGTGCGTATGGTATCGTACCGAATTACTTCGATACAATATCGATATATATTTTGAAAATAAACAATATACCGGTATACTGTCATAACAAAAATCCAAGCTAATACAACAACAACATCCGAGCCTTAGTCCCAAAAGATATTGGGGTCAGCAAAAATCCAAGCTAATAGTTTATATATATATATATATGACTAGAAACACGACATTAAGAATAAATGACTTTATATCCATGTTTCTTTAACTATTTATATTTTTTGTTGGATATCATTATATCATTGTCATTTTATGTATATCTATGTTAATTAAATTATTTTATGAGAATGTGTTTTTTTTCAAGGAGGAGAATGTGTTGTTATGTTCGTATATGATGTGTTGAAATATTGAAACACATTTATAATAATTCTTGTTCAAAATTGAATAAAACATCAACATGTTATCATTAGTATTTTTTTAATTAATTTTAATAATGATGTTAGCATATCACTACTCACACCAATTTTCTATATTTCATTCGCCTATAATTATTTTTTATATTAAAGCTCAAGTAAGTCATGATCATTTAACGAAACTGTACCAAAATTTCAATAAACAGAAACAAAGTATACCGAAATTTCAATAAAGTAATGGGAAAATAAATAATATACTCCGAACTTTGCTGAACTCCCCACCCCGAACTTGTCCTAGTTTAAACATTGTAACATTGTAAGCTCATATTTCGATTTTAACATTATACACAAAATAACATGTTTTAGGTTCTCAAACAAAATAAATAGCTTCCACAACACTTCAAACTTTTAAATATTTCATATAAATCTCAATGTTTTCGCTCTGTTTAATTTCCTCCGAGTTAAGTGAGAATACTGAAACAGAAGGAGAGCAGTTGCTTGATGCTTCAATTTAATAAGAACTCATGTTTCAGGCAATTAAATAAATTCATCCATAATTTAAACAATTATAGTCAAATGTCACTCCACCTAAAGACCTAAACGGTCTCAAAGTCTCCTCGTCATCATGCGAATGGTGAGTGGTGACACCACTAGCACTAGATAAGACTGTAAGACTATACAATACAAGTACGAAAATAGAAATGAAATAATCGAACAACAAATGTAAACTTAATTGACATTTTCATATATCAACAACTAACATTGCAACCAAAAAAATCGGGGAAAAGCGAAAATATCAAGACCCAATCTTTTTCTTCTTTTTTCGTTCAAGAAAGGGTGTTTTAATTGCCCAGAAAAATAAAGAAACCTCACAAAGTAGAATCCATCCATCCCTAGCAATTGATCATTCATATGCCTGTAGTTCCTCTCCCAAGAGTGAGCTCCAGATAATCCAACCCTACCTCATGAATTCTCTCCCCTTCCCAAGCTTTCACTGCCACATTATTCTCAAACCCAATCTCCACACCTTTACCCTTATTATCCAAAAACATTCGACGATCAGGACCAACCCGCTCATGAGCATTAGTGGGCTTCATGAGATAAAACGTAGGAGATGTTGGGCCCATATTATTAGGCCCATACCTCTGGAAGTTCATCCAGTGGCCCGAATCGATGGTGGATGAATCAGACTCATCACATTCTGGAATGGTGGCGGGAAATCTCTGGTGGCCACGGGCCGGGCTGGTTGGGGCAGAGGCAAAGAACGGAATGCTGTTAAACACGGACATGGTCTCCAAGTTAAAGGCCTGTTTGGGAGCTCTGGTTGGGGAAGAGATAGGTGGGGTCACAGGGGCGCTATTTGATATCCTTAGGGGAGGGAGTGATGATGGGATTGCATTACGGAGAAATGCGAACGGATGGGACGACATCATCGCATCACCATGGGTTGGGCTTGGGCAGGAGGAAGACAATGGGCTGGGTTGGTATGAAGGGACTGGGCTGGCAAAATAGGATGATGGGGGGCTAGGGTTTCTGGAAGAGCTTGGTGTGATATTGGCTGAAGTTCCTCCAATCTCCATAGGTGTTGGCTTGAATCCCTGATTAACAACATTCCAATAATCATTACCAGCTTATCTAATTACCATACACACTAAACTAATCATAGGACACCAGAAGCAAAACAAGTACAAATTCTGAATTTTGGAGAAGATAAAGTGGTCATCAGAAACCACAAGTATCAAATTAAGAAGTATCAACTAAAGGATTTGCAGGAAACCTCAGAACAGCAGATAGTTTACCAGAAAATGCAAACTAAAGAGATACTCTCTCCCTCCCGTTAGAAGGTTCCCGTCGACTATTCTCATGTTCAACTTAAATTATTTTTAATCTTGTACTTTATAAACCAAATTTTTACCAAATATACGTTTTTTATCAGCCTTTGTAACGGTTTTAATGTAGTTTCTAAATATGTTAATTTTATTTACTAAAAATAATCGGTGTGAACATGCATTAATTTGCTTTATCGTCGATCAAGCATCGTAAACCGTTCACGGGAACATTCTAGCGGGACGAAGGGAGTATATTTAAGGCTCATGCTTCTGTTGCAACCGAATTAGACAAAAACAATCAGAAATCGAGTCTAATTTTTAGAATCAGCTTTTCCAGGACATACGGCTTTACTCAAACTCTGCTCAGAATGACGTCGCTTGGTGAAATTCGGTTGAAGAATCATAAGAGTCCAGACCAGTTCTACGAAACAGCTAACCGGAAATCACTCGGTGATCAAGAAAAAGCGAAATTCTCTCAAAAATGTCTAGATCTATTGAATTCAAGCTGAATTTGACAAGAAGAGTTGAATCGAGTAAGAAGAAAAAGAAGAGTTTAAGAAGAACCTTGCGATAAGTGGTGCCATCAGGGTCAACAATCCAACCAGCCTCAGCACAGAGAGCCTTGAGAACCTCATTGTTATCACAGTGCTTGGGGAGATCGTAGTTCCCCTGAGCTCTCAGTCCGGCGTATATCTTGGCAGCTATAGCTCTCCTCCTCCTTTCTCTCCTCCGGTTGTTCTCTCTCTCCCTCCACGATGGCTTCCTCCTCCCGCTTCCTCCTCCGTCACCGCCTGCGCCGGCAGCAGATCCTTCACCTTCCCACATCATCATTTTCCCCTCTCCCTCTCTCCCCGTGTCAATCAATATTAATGAGATGAGGGTAGCGGATATTGCGTTGCAGGGTTGGGAGTTGTCACGAGAAATACGCTCTCTGCAAGAGTTCATTAAAAAAAGTGCATTCCCCAAATAAGAATAAAAGAAAAAATCTATTCCTGCACACTATTAGTACACACTCTTAAACACTCATGCTATGAAGGTTATTTTTATGTCTGTCCCATTTCGGGAATAAAAAAAAAGAAATTACCCAAAATAGGGGCAAATGACATTTGGAATTCCAAAAATAGGACTAGTATGTTTTTCTTCCCGAAATAGTAGTTATTACTGTCATGTATGAAAAATACTGAAATGATTGAAAAATATTATCATTAATTATGAAAAATATTGTCATGTTAAATGCACTGTACCGCAACTATTTGGCAGTCACAGCAAGATGGCAGTAAATACTGTCATGTTAGTCCCATTTTGGGAATAAAAACAAAGTAGTCATATTTTGGAATTTCAATCTTCATTTACTCCTATTTTGGGAAATCTCCCTAAAAAACGTCTCACAGACATAAGTGTGTAAGAGTGTGTATACAAAGTGTGTACCCCAAGTTTGATTCATAATAAAATATGAGGTAAATGAAAAAAGAGTTTTTTTTGAGTTAATGTTAATTAGATAATTAATTATGAAAATAATGCTGGATTAAAAGTATTTACCGATCTACTGATGGGTTTAACCATGGTCGGGGTAGGGATGACGACTTATAAGTCGCCCAACCGTTTGGCGACTTATCTCTGATTATAAATTTCCTCTAAACAAGGTCCCTTTCTCCTATTTAGGGGTTACGAACCAGATACAACACATTACAAAACATAAAACACACCTCCTCACAAACACATACATAATACCTTCTCTCAACAACATGCAAAACACCGCATACATAACCTTCACAAATAAGATACAAACTAGTAGATTCATAACCAGTAAAATACAGTACAATAATCCAATATTCATAACACAGTAGTCATCTAGTATTCATAATCAAACACATCAACACATCATAAAAGAGTTTACAGGTGGAAATAAGTAAAATAAAGTCAATTCTTCCTAGAACATCTAGTGTACAAGAAAAACTCCAATACAAAAGACAAATTACAAGTTCTCATGATCTTCTTGATCGTCTTGGTCATAGAGATGTTGTTGTTGCTACCTACGCCTACGCCGCTGGTGTGGTTGAAGAACCACTCTCTCATGTTGAGTCTGGATGATGAAGCTGCCGCTGCACTAGATGCTGATGGCATATCCTGAGATGGGGGCATATGTATAAGATGACCGCAATCGACTCGCCCCAACACATCTGAACACAACGAGGCGATGCCCGTCAAAGCCTGATCGTACGTTTTCACGTCATGCGTATCACTCACTGTGGCAGTAGCCCGCTGATGTATACGCTGCAAAGCTCGTGTCTGAAATATGAAACACAATTACAATTAGTTAGAAATAAATAAAAGTGTTAAGTAAAGAAAAATCCTTACTTTAGTAATTAGTAATATACTTACCGTCAGATGCAAAGCCAAGGAACTAGGCTGATAATGGTGAGTAGAGAGTCTGAACGAAGGAGATACAAAAAAACGAGTGATGCAAGTACTCTGTCGTCCACCCGCACATGCGACAAACCACGTAGGTGCTCGCGGCACCTATCCACCTGAACATCGAGGCCAAGCCACACATCCTCACTCCTGTGCGAGGCCTGCAATGTCAGGACAGAACGATCACTCAGCCCAGGACCCGCTGCCACCTCCATGCCTACAAAAAAGAAAAAGGATATTAGTTAATTTTTACTATTGTATAAATTTATTTATTTTTAATTAATACTTTACTAATAATTTTTTTTCATGCACCGTTAAACCAAATTGTGGAGTATTATAATTAGAACTTTACCCAGTGGACCCCCTCCATCCGTTGATGATCTCTTTGCACATGTGCCCCTATTATGGCCGGTTCGTTTACATTTTCCATATCTAACCGTTCCCCGGGGACCTTCATCCATCTCATTCTTAATACATGTGGACTTAGGTCTTCCCTTAGCCCGAACCATGGATGGATCATGCACAATTTCGGGTCCATAATAAGTCGGACAATAATCACGGTCAGCAATGGGTTTAAAGACTCTTTGATATGTGGCGCCGTATTGGTCAGATGAGAAAAAAGGATCCACAAATGGATGTGAAGACAAACTACGTTGTTTGTACACGGATAATACATGGGAGCATGAAATCTTATATATTTCCATCTTTTTACAGGTGCAAGTACGTCGCCGCAGATGGACATTTGTTTTCTCCCACCCTTTCCCAACGTTCGGCCACCACATTCTGTTTCCACTTGGTATATCCCTTAGCCTATATCATATGGAGTAACAGTGTGATGCTTCGCCTTCTCTCTATTCTTCTCAATCAAATCCATTATGTGTGGAGAGTAGTCGTGGCCTTCAGTCACTCTTCCTTTACTGCTTTCACGCCTATTAACAAAATAAGCATTAACGCGGAAAAAGGAAACTTGGACCAAAGCGGTGATGGGCAAATATCTAACATTTTTCATCACACTGTTGAAAATCTCAGTCAGATTAGAAGTGAGGGTACCGTATCTATATCCGCCATCGTGGTGTAATGACCACATTTCCAAGGGAATGTTCCCCAGAAATTGTCGCGCCTCCACCCACATTTCCCCTATCTTCTTTAACCCACCATCAAACTTCTTTTTCTGATGTTGCCGTGCGGTCCAGACAATCAGATTTTTTAGGTGAGTGTCTTTGAAATGAGTGTGCACATTTGATGCAAGATGGCGGATACATAGCCTATTGTCACGAATCTCCCGATACCGCGGCACGACAGGCCAATACGCCGCGGCATGACATGGAATACGCCACGGCATAACCGTGGCCAGGTGACAAGGAAGAGTCTAGAACATCCCAAGAGGAAGGGGCAGAATCCTGGAGGCTAAGAGAATATTCTAGACTCGTGTAGATACATATACACTTGTATAGAGTATAGTAGAATATTCTAGAATATGATAGAGTTGTATATAATATTCTAGAATTAAACCATAGCCGTTAGATCAAATAGATCTCAACCATCCATTGAGGAGGAGGGCAAGTATAAATACCCCTCAAGGTGGTTCATTTGTACACATCGAAGTTTCCAAGCATTCAATAAAGTCTCAAGCTTTCTTCAAGTGTTCTTGCCTTTAACACATTTCCTTCTAGCCAAGCACTTAAGCACACACAACACTAAGGAGTTGTCCAGGCTGACTTAGCTACTGCGAGGGGCAGAAAGGAGCTAAGGCCGCACGTGAGCTTGTTGAGGGAACAAGTTCGTGACAGTTGGTATCAGAGCCGCGTTCAGGTTCGGGTTCGTGTTGTGCACATTTGGGAGCATGGCTGGAAACGTTGACACTAGCATGTCCAACTTCACCGAGGAACGTGGGAGGGATGCTAATCCTACCCATGGCAAGAAGAAGCGAGATCAAAGCAAAGCTCGAGGGGAGATTCTTTCTTTGGAGGAAGCTGTTGAAGGCCTGGGCGCTAAGCTCGAGAGGGTCGAGAACGGCGCAAACTTGCTGGAGAACCATATGTTTGAGCAACTTAGCCTTGTGAAGGATGATGTGGGGGACCTCGATGGCCGATTTGTTCAACTGGAGGAAAAGGTAATGGATGCTATCCAATCTTTGCAAGTTAGTCTTGAGGGTATGCGTGAAGAGTTGGCGTTGTGTAAAAAGGCTGCTGCCAGTGGTGGGGCAACGATCAACCTAGCCCATACCCCTAAGGTTGACTATCCGAAGCCTTCTAAGTTCCATGGAGTTCGAGATGCTAAGGAAGTCGAGAACTACCTATGGCAAATGGAGCAATACTTTGACAACCTCAACCTAGAGGATGAGACGGCGAGGATCAAGGCGGCCACATCCTACCTAGCGGATACGGCCATGTTATGGTGGCGAAGAAGGCATGCGGACATTGAGCGGGGCGTTGCACGGATTGACACTTGGGACGACTTCAAGAAGGAGTTAAAGAGACATTTCTATCCGGAGAACGTCGTCTTCGAGGCACGCAAGAAGCTAAGGGAGTTGAAGCAAAGAGGTACGATTCGGGACTATGTGAAAGACTTCACAACCCTTATGCTCCAAATCCCCAACTTGTCCCAAGAAGACCTACTTTTCTATTTCGTGGATGGGTTACAAAGTTGGGCTAAACAAGAGGTGCAACGGCGGAATGTTCAAACGGTGGATGAAGCCATTGCCGCTGCTGAATCCTTGATGGACTTCCAGCACCATAGTTATGGGGAGGCATCCAAGAGAAAAGACAAGAACCCCGTCAAAGGTGGGGGAGAGAGACATGACAATGTGGGAAAGGAGAACCCACGAAAATCATTCTTCAAGAAGGGAGACAAAAGTTTAGGGCGCGAGGAGTACGAGGCACAAAAGAAGTCCTTTGTACCGAAGGGTGGGTGCTTCGTATGCAAAGGTCCGCATACCATGAAGGACTGTCCTAAGCTCGGTTCATTGTCTGCCATAGTGGAGCAACAAGAAGCGGAGGCCCGAGATGAGGAGACGAGCAAGATGGGATCTCTCCAAATCCTTAATGCTCTCAAGGCGAAGCCGATGCCTACGACGACAAGCAAGGGGCTCATGTACGTTGAGGCATACATCAATGGGAAAGCAACAAGGGCATTGGTGGACACGGGCGCAACGCATAACTTTGTGACTGAGGAGGAAGCCAAGAGGGTTGGTCTTCAATGGTCCAGAGGCGAGGGGTGGCTTAAAACAGTTAATGCCAAGGCTCAGCCCCTGAACGGCGTGGCACGAGGTGTGAATCTACGCCTAGGCGCTTGGAAGGGCCAAGTGGATTTTTCGGTGGCACCAATGGATGACTTCAAGGTTGTTCTAGGGATGGACTTCCTGAGACAGGTAACTGCGATCCCTATGCCATCCTTTAGCACGGTTTGCATTCTTGAGAAGGGTTCACCGTGCATGATACCGACATTGGAAACTCCTAATGAGCGGCCAAGTGGGGCTAAGACATTGTCGGCTATGCAAGTAGCCAAGGGGGTGAAGAAGGGAGAACCGACATTCTTAGCCG